CCCCAGCCACTGTGCTCTGCATTTTCTGAGCAAGGAACACTCACAGTATGGCTTGCCTGGCCATGTTATTGTTTGTTGCTTGCTTCCCAAAATGTTGTTGTTTGTTTGTCAATGTCTAGAGTAAGTATGAGCAAGCTTGGGCCCTCTGGGTGTTTTGGACTCTAACTCCCACCATTCCTAACAGCCTCAGGCCCCTTCCTTTTCCCCCTCAGCCGCTTAAAATATCTCCTGTGTATACTTTTTATAGATTTAGCCATCATTCATATATATATATATATATTTATATACACACACACTTCTATGTATGCTTTTTATAGATTTAGCCATCATATAAACACACACACATACTTTTTATAGATTTAGCCATCATTCATATACACACACACACACTTCTATGTAGGTTTTTATAGATTTAGCCATCATACACACACACACACACACTTCTATGTATATTTTTTATAGATTTAGCCGTCATTCATATATATATTGTTTTTGTTCATTCGTTCAGTCGTCTCCAACTCTTCGTGACCTTATAGACCAGCCCACGCCAGAGCTCCCTGTCGGCCGTCACCACCCCCAGCTCCTTCAAGGTCAGTCCAGTCACNAATGGGCCCCTCCTGGCCTTTTGCCTCCCTCTCCCTCCTTTTGCCTCCTTTTGCCTCCCTTGGCTGGCTGTAGTTTTCTCAGGCTGAACGACATCAACGTTTGTCTTGCTCCTGAGAACTATTGACAAGTGTGTTTTGGTCCGAGTCCCTTCCAAATGGGTCTCTAGCCTGTGGGCGCCGCTTCCTTTCCAGCTCAGGGTCCTGTATTTCAATCTAGAGGGTGGAGGCTCCACAGTTGCAAAGTCCAGCCGGAGTCAGGGCCCTGTCCTGGTGCTGGGAGGCCTTGGGCTTCCTCTCTTTCATCCACCTGCACTTTCCCTCCTCCTTTTCCATGCCTCCAGTTTTCTCTCTTGTCCCATCTCTGTGTCCTCCGCCTTTTAAAGTTCTAAAGACAACTTCAATTCACTTGCAAATCCGCAGCTGGCATTAGTGGAGCGCCTGCTGTGAGAAGAAGGAAAGTGTTTCAGGGCTCCCCCACCTTTCCAACACACAGGCACTCTCTCCATTTCTGCTCCTTGTTTGTAGTTGAACCAGAGTGCATGTTCTCTCCTCTCCTTTCTGTTTTTTCCTCCGAGAGCCAAGCCAACTCACAGGCTCGGCCCATTCTGTGGTCAGCAAAGGGAGAAATGCTGGGGAGGCAGGCAGGCAGGCAGGCAGGCGGAGAGGGAGGCTTTGTTTTGGTTTCTTAAAAGCCAACGCTGCCGACGCCACCACTGTACAACAAGGCAATTGGAAGAGCTTCCTCCGCCGCCGAAGGAGAGCCGCCAGGAGCTTTGCTGGGCTCTTCTGTAGCTGAGCAGAAAGTGAAGTGGCCTTGACATTTGGCTGGATGGGGAAGCCCCAGGTCACTTGCCATGGCAGTCGCCTTTTGTTCCTGGCAACTGAGCTAAGGTGCTTTTCAGCCTCGCCAAAGAGGAGGAGGCTTCCATGTTGATGCCGCTTTCTTGTGCTTTATTGTCAGGACACACTGAGGAAGGAGCCACTTGGTGTAGGATCAAAGGCACAGACCTTTGTCCAGCCTTTTTGAAACTCTTCCTTTTTCTGTTTGGT